TCTGTCAGTATTCTCTTCTTTTTCCTTAAGATATAATTATATTTCTGAATCAAAGCAACCATTGTGTCCCAAAGAATAGTAGGGTAGTTGGTTCTAAACATTCAATACTGAAAATGAATGAATGAATGGAATTTGTACTGCAGAGAATCAATTTCATGCTAGTTATTTTTTAAACCTAGAGCAGGGTTGGTTGGTTTGTTCGTTTTTCCACCAATTTTGTGGGTATAGAAATTGAGAGGGCAATTTCCTCTAATTTCTTAGAGAAAGGAGAAATTCTCAACAATTTCTCAAGGGCAGGATTCCCCCTTAGCGGTAACCGTAATACCATTACTAAAACCCCAGTGGAAGCTGCTGTGTCATGATGTCTTCTCTAGGAATTTAATTGATTGGAGAAGCCTGGGAAGCTGCAGACTACTAGAAAAATGAGTTTACAATGTATGATAGGATATTGACACACACACCTTTGTTACTCATCATTAAATAAGTAGAACGTATTCCTCAAAAAGGGGGGGGGGTTGTTGGTTTGTTTTCTAAAGAAGTATTGGTTCAACACTTTCATGCTTCTGTTACTGGTTTTCTTCCAGCAGAAATATGGCAGTAGACGGAGCATAGAATTACAGAATGACTTAAGTCAAACCTCAAAGATGTATTCACCCTTCAGAGATTCCTAAAGATCTAGTCAAGCAGTATTTATGTATTCATAAAAGCCTCCCAAATATTATGGGCATTCTTGAAAGCCTGATTTGATAATTTACCATCGGCTCTTTTAGAGTGCCAGTTTTATAAAACCTCTCAGAAGTTCTGCCTTTGTGAACTGGATGAGATGGAACACATTCTTCTGTGCTGTCACATTTACTCCAATTTAATTCAGCTTCTATTAATTCAGATTAATTTTACATTCAATTATTTTTAGCTGACTCTTAAGTTTGCATTTTTGCTTCATACCATAAAGGACTCACATTATGATTGTACAATCTTGACTTGAGCCAGGTTTTTGAAATAAGTCAGGATATGTAAATCTATGTTGATTATTATATTACCACTCCTGTATATTTTACTGTATTCTGGATTACGATTGATAAAATTTGATTTGATTTGGAGTAGGAGAATTGTTGTTTCTTTGTATGTCTAATTCCATTACAAAAGGATTTACTGCAGAATATTTTCGTGATAGTCATTTCTACACAGTATCTTGGTATGTGAAATCTCTAATTTTTGGTAACTTTTTCACCACTAGTTCTAATTCCTCTAATTTTCAATGCATACTTTTTTTTTGTCTCCACTCATGGGTAATCACTATTGATTCTGTTTCTTTAATTTGCAGCTGATGTTCAGTCTAATCAGGAACATTTAATTTTAATGCACAATTCACCTTAAGATACTGATCTTCAGTGTAAAAGAAACAAATGTCTCTTGGCATTTTGAGCATACTCTGTTTCTGAATGTCCTTTTCTAATAATAATCTCAATTAATTCAAGGTAGCAACAGATGTTTTTCCCCGTGTTTTGCTGAATGTGTAGAAAATTTCAGTTGGATCTTTTTCTGTGAATATTAGAAATAGAATATGTATAGTCTATGCTAAAAGCTACCTCCAAAGCCATGGCAGCAGAGTTCTGCTTCCATAATAAGAATTCACCTTATTTTTTTCCTTAGCCCCCTTCTCCCAAATCTACTCTACCAACTGTAGTAACTGTCCAGAACAAATTGGAGGAAAAGCCAATGGATGCAAAGTAAAAATTTAGTCCAATAACAGTTTCTCTTCTACTTCAAGATGGCCATCTGCAGATGCATCCCATTGTCATGACTTGGACAAAAGTATATAATGTCTTTTTTCATTATTTTCTTTTAGCACAAAAGCCAAAAGTGAAGATTGTATTTAAAATTACAAAAACGCAGCCATGTCCACCTCATGGGGCAATACATAGTTGTCAGAACTACAGTCTCTGTAGTCTCTGACACAGTTTTTGAATACAAACTGAAAAATAAATTAGCAAATTAATATATAATTTAATTGGCTGTCTTGACATTCACATAGTCAGTTCTGATCAGCAGTGTAGCATAGGAGAATGACAAAGGTCATATTCTAAGGAAAAACAACAAAGCCCTCCTAGTCATTATTTATTTATTTATTTATATTTCCAATTTAGATACCACCCATCTCACGAAAAAGTGACTCTAGGCAGTTCACAATAACACAACAATAAATATTAATTAAAATACAATGAAAACAATATAAAAATACAGTAAAAATAGAATAAAACCAAACACATATGCAAATAATAGTGATGTATAACTATTCTGAAATTAAATTAAAAAATAAACAAGCTAGCTGGGAGTTAATTGCAGTCACAAATGTGAAATAAAAGATATGGGACTTTGACGGAGTAGTGTCCATTCAGATGACTCCTTTACGATCTTGAACTGAGCAAAAAGTTGATTTAGCTTTTGCTAATGTACATTCTATAGGTTTTTAAAGGTTTTCAAGTGTTTAGTTCTCAAAAAGCAGATGCCATCCCCCAGAACAAACTTTTTTTAAAAAAAATGTATTTTCCTGAAATGACCATTGATTTTCCAAAATTTAATATTCCAATTCTTCCTTCCACAGATCAGATAAATAACTGATCCTAGCTTTCATTTCACCTTTTAATAAGTTTTTAAAAATTGTGGGTTTCTATTAAAGTGCAGCATTTCTTAAAGAACTTGAATTTACGAGTGCCTCAAGACTGCTAAAGCACCCAGGCCATACTTTCTAGGTATATTGAAGGCAAATCAGACTCAAAAGCTTAAAACAACTATTGAGAATCAACTGATTTAAAGTATTGATCCCTTGTTAGCCCAAGTATTCCAATAGAATATCTGCCCCATTATTTTCAAATTTGAGTTATACCACAGTGCCCCCTTTTCATGTGATTCGGTTTCAGAACTAGCCACTTACCTATTAATAACCAAATATGCCTAGCAGCTTTCAAAGTACAATACAAAGATCCTAGTTTAGAATACATAGACCCTAAAGCTTGCCAAGATTTCAAAGATTTTACACATTCGCTCTTCAAATGGACCCAGAGAGGAAAGTAATTGTAATAAGTCTCATTCCAATTAATTAATCAATCAATTAATTAATTAAAATAAAAGCCCAATTATATAGCTGAAAATCCTTATAAGGTGATTGCAATTTTGCCAAAGATATTCTAGAGGCTTTAACCTGCTGTAAAAAATTCTCATTGATTTATGTGTGTGAAATATCTAATAAGAAGTAACATTATAGTCTCTCTTAAAATGTACATTAATCTTGATGTTACTCATTTTAGTAACAGTAATCTTATCCCAAAGACATAATGGGGGTTTTAACTGTCAAATTACATCTTTTGTAATTCCATCTATACCTTTGGAAGTATTTAATTCAACATATTGTGATAAAAGTTAAGAAGTAAAACCCAGGTATTTTATAGAATTATACAAATTGTAATTCCTAATCTCTTACAATCATCTATAGATATAGTAGTACCCAAAGGCAACAAATTAGATTTATTCCAATTAATAGTGTAACCAGGATATAACATCAACTAGCTTTGGTAATTACATTGTATAATTATTAAAAATAGTCATAATATCATCTGCATACTGTATATGGCAGACCTAGACATGGCTGTAGTCATGTAATCCCCATGCTATATTTTATGAAAATGTTGGTAGAAATCTAGGAAGCACTCACGCCAATTTGTATTTTTTTTAAAAAAGCAGTGTTTCCTGTTGCTTCAGCTACTTTTTACTTAACCACACAAAAACTGGAGTAGCTGCACAGTATACTTATGCAAGAAGTAATACTTGATAGCAATGCATTAATATGCTGAAAACAGTAAAAACCCAAAATACATCAACGTAATATCTATCAACATTTAATTTTTTATTTAAAGGCCTTGTATACTACACCATTAATGTGATTAGTGAGAAATACAGCTTTGGAGATATATACAGATAGCTGTAACACTGAGTGAATCAACTTAAGGGCTTATTAATCAAGCAAAATCAAACAGACTGAGGGACAAAAAAAATATATTGAGAATGACAAGTTTATTCATAGCTTGAAATCTTTAATATTATTGTATATGAAATTGTTCATTAACTGCTCTTTTTTAAAAAAAAAAACCTTTCGTTCCTGTTCAGTTTCTAATGTTTCATATTAACTCTGAGGCATATTTCCGGCTTAGTGTTCCATCATCTTTTCAACAAGTGACTAAGAACATAAAACTAGGTTTGTATGGATTCCTACTGGTACCTTATTAGACAATGTGTGTCTGCACTACTACCTATGCATCATGTTAAAATTAGATGTGCTGTTATATCTTTCAAGATCTTTATATTAGTTGGCTATACAGTAGACTTGTTGCTACACTTGAGTTTAACATCCTGAAAATAATCTTTTGAGTTTTTAAAAATTGCCCTGAGTCCCATCCTCATTTGCCACTGAAAATAACACCACTGGGATTTGGTGACAAGCCACATGGTTGACGATTTTAGCCTTGCCACTTGCTACTGCCGACTTGTACATAGAGTCTCTGACTTTGTGCTTTTCTGCTCATTCTTGCTACCCCTTGGAAATGGTTATAAAAGAAACAATGGTTGGCAAGTGTCCTGCGTAAAACTGCCTTTGCCAATCGCTGCAGCCACAGCAGTGCATTTGATAGACACAGTAGAGGGCATAAACTATAAATATATAAACAGTTATACAGAGAGAGTCTAGAAATTTTAGTATTTTATAATTTGAAATGATAATGTTCATATGTTAGCAGATATCCGAGCAATAAGGATAAACTAAGTGACTATATGCATCTGAAAAATAAGTGGTTTCAAATAGAGCACTTTGTTTACCTACAAAGAAGTTGCATATGTATTGCTTTTTGGATAGATAAATTAGGAGATGACATAATAAAACAACTTGAGAAATATATTTTAGATCAAGAAGCCAGCTGATGGATCAGATGTTCACAAGAGATGACCAAATGTGGCAACTGATAGATTGCTACCAGTTGAAAGGAAGTGAGACAGAGAGAGAGAGAGACAGAGAGAGATTGCAACACAGTGAGTGAAGGTCAACTAGATGTGATATGTAAGATCCATGATATTCAAGATCTGTTTGTACTTGGGAGAGGAGATAAGAAAACACTCAATAGCGGATGAAAAAGTGCCATTTTGGTTTGCAGTTTAATCTTTCTGCTATGTTGTTTCTTCATTAAACTCTCTCCTTTTCTTCATTTACACAAAGAAAATATGAAAACTGAATGCTTACAAAAGGAGGCTTTAATTCCATTGTTTTGTTTTGTTTAATGGTAGTTTTCGACATTTAAACTTTGTATTATAAGTTTGTTACTAAATATGCCAAGTTTTTTTTTAAAATTTGGAAAATAGGTTTATCTTCCAAAATAAACTAATTGAAATTATTAATGCATAAAAGGAAAGTGTGAAGGTCAGTGACAATAGGCAAAGTTTATTTCATCATGTTAGTGAGAATCTGTTGCTAATGATAACAGAGTATCAACTGTGCTTTCAAATATGTTAGGAATAAAAAAACAACCCTTTTTTCTGAATAAATCATATCCCCATATATTTAAGTAGGTTTTATTTTATAAATGCTTCAGTCAGTAGGCAAAATGGGAATTGTATTCATAATTCAAGCCAGCTCAGAGTTTTCACCATGATTGTGTTATTTTTGTTTCTGCTTTCCAGAACGATTCAACGTATATCTTATGCCTACACCAAATTTAGATATCTATGGTGAATGTACAATGCAGATCACACATGAAAACATTTATCTCTGGGATATCCATAATGCTAAAGTTAAACTGGTCATGTGGCCTCTCAGTTCTTTGAGACGATATGGGCGTGATTCAACATGGTTCACTTTTGAATCTGGAAGGTAAGTATCAGTTCATGGAACTCTAATAACATACTTTACTTTCATAGAATTGTGTATTATTGCTGAGGTCAGCCTTGTCATGGTACAATGTAAAATACTTGCTTCAGTGGGCACATTCAAGAATAGTTGCTTTTTACCTATCTCCAGCAAAATTGTGTCTGTAGGTTTAAGCTTTTTTTATTATTATTATTGATTAATTTGCAAAAAGTACAAAAAGTCCATTTGGGTGGCATTGTATTCTGGCTTTAAGCATTTGGGTTTGTCTGTCTGGTGATGCCATATCTCTGAAACATCAGCAGAATATCAGTTTTTAATAGTGTGTTGACTCCATTTTTTACATCCCATTATAAAACTCAACAATGGTTGACCAGACACACTAGGATTCTTAAGATTTTTTTGTTTGTTTGTTTATTGACTGTGATTGACAAACACTTGTCAAATAAATGAGTGACATAAATCCATGATGCATGGAGAAAAAATGAGAAAAAGATCTACACATTCAAGTCTACCATCCATCTAAAGTGTAGCCCATAGTAGGTCTGTTGCAATTAAGATAAAATCTAAAGTCCATCCAAATTTGATTGAATTATGGTTCCTGCCTCTGGTGTTTCATTATTTTAACTTTATCTATGATCTTTTGTAACATGCTATTGAAGAGGCCTTGTTAATCCACCTCTCTATTGTTAAGTTATCTAAAATTTTCCAATGTTGGACAATCATTATTTTAGCTGCTCAGTTTAATTAAATAATAAATTCCTTGTTTTTAAGCTTGAGGATAAATCCTGTGAATAAGTGCAATAACCCTAACTCTGAGGACCATTCAATTAATTGTTTAGTAATGATGCTTATCTCACCAACATTTTTACACCAAAAGGGTATAAGTTTAGAGTCCTTGAGGTTCTCTGAGCTTGGTTGTTTTCTTGCAAACATTTCATTACTCAGCTAAGTAACATCTTCAGTACTAGAATGACATGGGGTTTGCTCTCTGTTTATATACAGTGGCGTGCCCTGCCAGTGTTGGTGGGTCCCCCCCCCCCCCCCTCTTTTGTTTTGTGTTTGTTTTTTTTTTTTTTTTTTTGTTTTTGGGTTTTATTGTTGTGTTTTTTTTTTTTTTTTTTT